TCCACGTGCATTCCACCCTCAGTAGTGGGATACTCTCGTCTGACATCCACGTGCATTCCACCCTCAGTAGTGGGCGACCCTGGTGTGGTACCTGCGTGCATTCCACCCTCAGTAGTGGGAGACTCTTGTGTGACGTCCACGTGCATTCTGACTTCAGTAGTGGGCGACATTTGTGTGACGTTCAGGGGCATATCACCCTCAGTAGTGGGAGACTCTTGTGTTTCGTCCACGTGCATTCCACCCTCAGTAGTCTGAAACTCTCGTCTGACATCCACGTGCATTCCACCCTCAGTAGTGGGAGACTCTTGTGTGACGTCCACGTGCATTCCACCCTCAGTAGTGGGAGACTCTCGTCTGACGTCCACGTGCATTCCACCCTCAGTAGTGGGATACTCTCGTCTGACATCCACGTGCATTCCACCCTCAGTAGTGGGAGACTCTCGTCTGACGTCCACGTGCATTCCACTCTCAGTAGTGGGAGACTCTTGTGTGGTTCTCGCCGTCATTTCTTCTTGACGAGAAGATAATTCTCTTCTGATTCTTACCGGTATTACGTCCACCAAATCCGGTGACTTTTTGGTGGATCTCTCAGATTGGCCCTCTTCATGGGAATTAAAGAGCATGACATCTGCGGGTTGATTAATCAACAGTGCGCAGAAAGTGAGATGAAATATCAACATTCTTCTAATGTACCTCTCCATGCAGCAACTGCAAATGGAAGTGTCACACACCAGTGCCTGCTTGATCTTTTATGTCGCTCACGCCCTGTCTTGGAAGAGTTCATTTCACATTTCGTTGACCAATAGATGTAGACTTTCATTGATTTATACCATAACATTCATGGTGTGGTCACGCTACAGCCACGGACGACTACATATAATGGTACATGTGCATGTGTATATGGGTAAAATTACAATCCAAAAATATTTACACCGAGATAATATGTGAAAAGACACTGCATAATAAAATTAGAGAGGATGTGTTAATTATAGAGGTGATGCACTTCCAGGAGCAAGACCAATACTTGTTGTTCGAATCTTTGCATCCTTGTCGTGTTTATTTGAGTGCAAAAGCGCTAATTGCAGGCTTGAAAGTGTGAAGTTTCAGAGTCGTTTTAAGACTTGTAACCCTATAGATCAGTCACGCCAAAGGAAGTAAATATTTTGCTTACAATCGTCTTCGTGAGACTTGTTTTTGACGTAGATCTCACATTAATACAGAATTGGATATCATTAGTATTGTTCATACTTGTCATCCAAGTCTACCAGATGAAGGAAATTTAACAGGATCTGAGATGTTTTTGCGGACTGACCCTGCTTGACTGCAATACGTGACGCCAAGCCGTCCGGAAAAACAAAACAGACTCGATTGAATTTGAAATATGATTATTTGAATATCATCGTCAAAAGTTAATAATGAATTTTCCAACGTAATTTCAGAACGTGCACATAATAGAGAAAAGGCATACAGTCACGTCATGAGAATGTAGCACAAAGCTTCACCAGATGTGACAGGTTTTCTTAACAATCAAGCCCACAACCTCTGTAAGATAAACTGCACACTACATATATACATTTACATGCATTGAAACCCCTTTCACTCACTAATTCAAGTTTACTTTGTTGAAAAAATAATGTTTGTTAACTTGTAGACTTCCTAACAAAGAGTTTCAGTTATTCTGGCTTAAAATCTACAATTTTTATCTTAATGATACATTTAAACACTATAATTTTTCTCTATAACAAAAGAAAAATAAACTTGATTGGGAACATGTTGGAACACTGCTTTCTCTGCTTGCTTTGTAACATACTTTTCCCCACTTCAAGTTCTATTTTACAATACGTTTAAATTTGAAATATGACTTTTTGAAATCATCCTCAAAGGAGTTGATAATAAATTGACCAACGTAATTTCAGAACGTGCACATGATACAGAAAAGGCATATAGTCACGCCATGAAAATGTAGCACAAAGCTTCACCAGATGTGACAGGTATTCTTAACAATAAAGCCCAAAACTTCTGTAAGATAAACTGCACACTACGCAAATACATTTACATGCATTGAACCTTCCTTCACGCAATAATTCAAGTTTGCTTTGGTTCCCCATAATATCTGTTAATTTGTAGACCCCATAACAAAGAGTGTCAGTTGTTCGGGCTTAAAATGTAAAACTTTTATCTTATGATTCATTTAAACACTATAATTTTCTCAATTACAAAAGAAAAATAAACTTAATTCGGAACATATTATGCATCTGCTTTCACTGCTTGTTTTGTAACATACTTTTCCCACTTCAAGGTATATTTTACAATACATGTACGTGTTAAGTATTTCAACTCATTAACTGTGCACTCATTTAGTGTAACATTATCACCGTTAATATCTACTGGCGATAGATTTCTTTTAAACTCGGAAATCATTTCCTCAATTTTTCCAACATTTTAAAATTGCAAGTGATGTTCATCACACCGTCTGCTTACACGGTATTTCTATAGGCCTATATTGACTCATCGTTATTTTCAGTCATGTATAAGATAACAGTATCATCAGTATATTTACTACTTTTACAATTTTCATTGCTAATTGTCATACAATTTATATATACAGACTTGACATTTAATATGGAATATTTTTTCCAAATCATAATTCATCAGTTTTTTTCCTATTTTGCTGACTTATAAATGAAAATAAGGATTAAAATCGTGTTTTAATAACTTTTGATAATCTATTCGATGTCAGTGTGACATCAGTTCATTAACTGAATTCGCCAGTGAAGCATACAAAAATACATTGCCTATTTTAAGTCATACGACAACCATTGAAAGCGATATTTTGGATCTCCATATTTTCCAAATTATTGTCTTTAAAAGAGTTACACGTCCCACAAAGC